AAGTATTAATCCCTGCAGTGTCATTTACAGTTTTTCTATAAAATATCTTGATTCAATTATACACTATTAGGAATATCTAATGAACTGTAATAATAACAAGTCCATAAAGGATCTTTATTGCAGATGCTTGCCCTCCGTTCATGACAGAAAAAGGGATTAACATGCCAACTGACATAGTTTAAAGTCCAAAAGGAAGTTACCAAGGAAGAAGAATCAGAAAACTTAATCGACTCACTGAGGATTTCTCTGTAAAAGGATAAGTAATGATTCCCTAAAAACAATTTATCCAGAATTATCTATCACCATCTAAATGTGCAACTTCAAAAGCAGTTGTATGTGTCCCCACATAATAGTGGTATTATGGAATCACCAACAGATTCAACTTGAGACAGGTTAACTTAGCTTGAGCCAAGGATACATTTATATGNTGGGTACAGCACCTGCGCAATGCTTTGCCAAGCAGCTGGAGTGTCATGGAGTCTTGCGGAAGCGTCATTTGCAGCTACAACACATGCGTGCACTGCGTGTGTCCATGTGGGCGACGCCGGGCCCGTTCTAACCGTACAGGTTGGAACAGGATCTGGAACCCACCACTGGTACCCATAGCTGAAGGACTTTAAGTGATCCTCTGTGAATTCACACAACTGTCTTCCTATCTGCTTGGTCTCATTGACCTTACCACTGAAGAGATCAGCACAACCCATGCTAATTCATGTGGTTTTCCATAGGAAGGTGCTCCAGTTAAATAGAGTTCTGCAAACTCTACAAAATTTCAAACAAAGTCTTCTGCAGAAAAATAAACCAAGTGTCTAAATGACACTCGGGAAACTGCAATTACACATGTCACGCTGGCAAGAATTTGAGTCTATTTGTTTCTATTTTCAATCGATAGGAATGGGAGAGAAAGAAATGGAACAGATGTTTAGTATGCCTTGCAGATCAGACCCATAGCTGTAGTGAGTTTTATACAATTTGTGTTGAGTAACAACAACTGCTGAGTTCTGTGCCATGATCAACATCCCAGTGCAGATTTTAATGATACAAAACATGCATTGATGGTGAGATATTCAAGGAGATATAACTCCTTAAATGCTGCTACTATACAGAAAAGTGTGTTCTCATGAAACTGATCTGTATTAAACCAGCTTTGGTTTTACCTAGTGAGTTTATTTTCATAACATACTTTCTATCTGCTAATGGAAAACATTAGTCTTGATTTAGTTCATTGGCCCCAAGAGTAGAACTTATATTGCCATGATAGGAAGTAATGGTAAGGGGGAGGGGAGAGTTTTTAGGTAGATGAAACTTCCTGTAAAATCGTTAGACATAAGGCAGTATTTATTTCAGCAGTTTAATACTAATCTTATAATTCACATACTTACTGAATATCTGATACATTTCTGCCTTGAGCTGCATTACCAATATGGATATGGGCACATATCAAATTCTCTATTTCCAAGAAGGCTGAAAAGTATTGTCCCAGACAGATGTCACTGTGAAGGTCTTTTTCTTCCATTTACTTATGACCAGGGAACTTGGATCTAGGCAAAACAAATAGTAAATGAGGAAGAGTTTTGTTTTCGAGGAATATTTTCAGAAATGTTGAGACACAGATCACTGACTGTAAGACATTTTATGCACAATCCATAAATTAACCTTTCTCTGGACCAGGGAACAGTTTGCAACTTTGAATATCCACCAGCTGATTTACGTCTACATTTTGAGAATGAGTAAACTAAACTTAAATAGATCATTCCCTTTTGAAATGACAGCCTAGAGATGCATGCCAAAGTTTTTTAAAAAAATATAATACAATATTAAAATAATTAAAACAACAAATCATAAGTAGTGATAAAGTATTAATCCCTGCAGTGTCATTTACAGTTTTTCTATAAAATATCTTGATTCAATTATACACTATTAGGAATATCTAATGAACTGTAATAATAACAAGTCCATAAAGGATCTTTATTGCAGATGCTTGCCCTCCGTTCATGACAGAAAAAGGGATTAACATGCCAACTGACATAGTTTAAAGTCCAAAAGGAAGTTACCAAGGAAGAAGAATCAGAAAACTTAATCGACTCACTGAGGATTTCTCTGTAAAAGGATAAGTAATGATTCCCTAAAAACAATTTATCCAGAATTATCTATCACCATCTAAATGTGCAACTTCAAAAGCAGTTGTATGTGTCCCCACATAATAGTGGTATTATGGAATCACCAACAGATTCAACTTGAGACAGGTTAACTTAGCTTGAGCCAAGGATACATTTATATGACACTAAAATGCTTCTGATATGTTTTATCCTGACATGCTTATATTTGTCAACATTTTTGTCCTGAGAGTCAAAATTTGAAAATTGTTGCTGCAATCTCAGATAATCCTGTATATAATCCAGAAACCTCCTCAGATAATCTTGTATATGTAAACCAACTGTATACTGAAACCAACCAAAATTTAGCATCATCCATGCTGATCAGCAACATCTTTTTAATAATTCACAGAGGAGGTCTTCTCAGGTACTAGACAAGCCTAGGATTGTCTAGTACTGCATCTGATTGATATGTTCTACCACTGAATTATCATCCATTTCCATAGATAATTTGTCCAGAAATTGAACCAAAGCCTTGTGTTACAACTTAAACACCAAGCCTTTAAATAATGTATAATTTCTTGTCAAACAACACAAACAAAAATCACCTGACTTCACTTTAGAGAGTGCTTTATAGTGAGTTAAATTTGGGGAGGACAAAGTTAACGTGTGAAGCTGAAAGCACTTGCCAATCAAAATAATGGCTCTTATGGGTGAAGACATAGTTGTATCATTTAGAATTTAGCTTGCCAGTAAGTTAATAAAGCGTTAGGCACTTTATAGGACCTCTATTACTCATTCATAGGAAAGCCATACTATAATTGTACCAAAAAAATTTTTTTCCCTTAGGTTCTTCTACAAATTTATCCTCTCCAAATCACTATAGCATGGAATTTGCTTCCATGTGTGTTGATTAAAGGATCTTTCTCTGGGTCAAGTTCTGTCTAGAGTTTCAGAGAAGGGGGAGCTCTGGCTATTCACAGCTAGGTGCATTGTTAAAGCTCATACTATCACTTTGACATTTAGAGGTAGGACTCAGTGTCTTTGTAAATTCTTCTTCTTCATATTACTGCCATGTCTCTGGGCTCCAACCGTTTCACAAACCATAATATTTTTTAGTGAGTGATTGATCTGTATTATGTGTCTCGGCCATCAGAGGAATCTTGAGATGTTGCTTGTATAAACCGTAATACAATCTGACACTGAGTGTTTGGTTTCAGGCTTTCATAGACCCATTGGCGATACACAATCCTCCTGGATTTGGGCATAAGGCTTATCTGATACCTTCCCAAAAAGTCCCTCATTTTCTCCGTTCCCCACTTAAATAACTCAACACATCTGGGTTAACACTGTAGGATCATTGTCCTTTCAGTTCTCCTGCAGATCAGATTGCTACAATATTTCCTTAAGTATCTGATTACTGAAAGGGCAAGACAAATTTTCTCTCTGAAAAGGAGGCTGTTCTTAAAGAGACTTAGAAATTAATTCCCGTACATCATTTTAAAAAAAGATTAATTGGTTCCATTTGCAAAGGTGTCTTGCTAAGCATGTTTGTTTAAGAGATCAAAAGCATGCTGCTGTCCATGTTTACTCAGAAGTAAACCATATAAGGCTCAGTGTGGCTTTCTTTCATAGCTAAAGTATATAGGATTTTAATCTAAACATAATAGAGTGGGGGAAGACCTATACAGTATATGAAGCTATAATGGTCATCAAGAATGTTAAGAGGTTTATAGAAGTAACATTTGGGCCTTTATTTTCCATACCGGCTTCAGTTACAAGAATGATAAAAACCTGAAACTGAATACTCTTAATTCAATAATAAATGGACACCATTTTAGGCAAGAGGGAGGGAGAATTTGATATAGACCCATATACCTAGGAAATTAATCATGGAAGAATAAACCTATAGCAGGCAGGATAGCCGTAAGGTAGGTATATATTAAATATATTGCTCTGAATAGTCCTATATTATTCTAGCAAAGGGGGTTCGTAATCAGAGCTCCGATTTCTTATTTCCAGTGAGACCATAATCTAGCTGAAACTATGTTTGGTTTTTTATTTTGGATTCTATTCAGTTTTTAATGGGAAAATCTGAGAACCTTAAAGATAAACAGTTTGCTAAATAACAATTCCATGTTGGCCAAAAAAAATATATATGTACAAGTCACTGTCATTTCTGGGATAGGCTGCTAAATGCAAATACAGTGTGTCCAGTATATGAAATGAGTTATAAAGATTAACTGGGTTTAAAAACAAACATCTTAGGTATAAAAGGCTGAATTTTTAATAGTTCCCAGAAGGTTGTTCTGATCTCTGTACGCCTGGTAGCCTATTTAATTTATATTTTAATATAGTGGTTTTCTAACTTTGTAGTACCACAACCCATTAATATGAAAGACGTATTTGTACAAAACTCCCTCATGAATAAAACTAATACTTTATTGGTGTTGGGTTTGTGCAAGAAATAAGTATACTGTTTTTAATAATTAAATTTTAACCTATACATCATACAACCTTGTAATTTAGCAGCTCCCCACTTGGGGCTTGTTCAGACAAAATAAGGAACCAACCATAGGGTGAGTTTTGACAGTATTCCCATTTTGTCTGCACAAAACCTGATTTTGGTTTTTTTTTAAATCTCTAAATTGCTCATAGTCCCTTGGGGATGGGGGTGTCTCAATGTACAATTTGAGAACTCTTCACTTTAATAAATAAAAACAAACAAATGTCCTTTGCTTTTTTTAAATTAACTTGAAATGTAGTTTTTTAAAAATATATCTCTGCATAAAGTGCCTTCAGGATACAGATTTTTTTTTAATTAAAGCATCCCTGTGTTCTTAGTTTAGCATCCTTTAGTAACGGTGTACTTATCTTGCTGAAAACTTGTTCTTTTTCTTTCAGGTGGTAGAGATAATGTCAAGTGCCATTGGCGACTTAATACAAGGAATATATTGCGAAAATTCAAGCCCGGGAAAGGTAAATTGATAGTTCACAAATGTCCTTGTGTTTAAATCACTTTCTCCCTCTTAGTTTAAAAAATAAAGCTTGGGTTAATCTGAATCAAAACTTCCCTTCATGTTACAATTATTAGAGCGTAACTTTTCAGAGCATAGCCCCATTAGTCAGATGCTCTAATTATATAAAATGTCACGTTTCTCTTTCTTAGTATGTTTTGTATTTGTAAATACAGGGAGTCCTCCACTTATGACCACAATTTAACCCAATTTAGTTTCTGTTGCTAAGAAAGTTGTTAAGTGAGTCACAGCCCATTTTACGACCTTTGTAACCTTTGTGGTTATAAAGGAAAATCACTGCGGTTCTTATGTGAATCTGGCTTCCCCCATTGACTTTCTTTGTCAGAAGATTGCAAATGGTAATCACATAATTAACCTGGGACAGTGGAACTGTCATAAATACATGCCAGTTGCCAAGAATCCAGATTTTGATCATACGACCATGTGGATGCTGCAACGGTCATAAGTGTGAAAAGTAGTCATAAGTCACTTTTTTCACTGCTGTTGTAACTTTGAATGGTTGTAAGTTGAAGAATATCTGTCTGTCTTGTTGGAAGGCCCTTGGGAAGGTTGCAAGTAACATTAACATGACTTAAGAGCCATGGTGGCACAGTGGGTTAGAAGGTTCCACCACAAAACCGCAGTAGACAAAAGCGCGCTCGACAAAAGCGCGTACGTGACGTCATCACAGCGCGACGAAAACATCGCGCTGTGATCGGTAAATGTAAAATTAAAGCGAAAACCTTACCCTAACCCCCCCAAACCTAACCCTAAACCTAACCCTTAACCTAACCCTAAACCTAACCCTTAACCTANAGATTTGAACAGCCGAACTGCAGAACTGCAGTCAGCTGAAGTAGCCTGCAGTGCTGCTTTTAACCACTGCGCCACCTCGGCTCATGTAGACTTGGAGATAATGGCAGCTGAAGTTTAGCTGAAGACCTTCAGAGTGTTAGGTTGTGGAAAGCTGACTAAATATATCTTCTTTAAAATTAACTGAAGGTTGCCTGCTCTCAGTACCTAGATATTGAAATTCTAAGAGTTCAGTCAGCTTACATCTTTGTAAACTGTACTTTGAGATAACAGGAAGTTATTCTGGAATCGTTTGAATGCGAAACATGTGTTCCATCACTGAGGAATGGTACTTCCTTAACTAATCTTTCATAATTGCTATATGTTCAGTTAAAATTATATCTTGACTCTATGAGTGATATGGGTTATACATTTATATTTATGATTTAAAAACCTGTACTGTATGAACACTTGTTCATGAAACTAGACAGGTTCTCGTCTCCAATAATTTCCATACAAGGCTTGCAGCCTACGGTTGGCTTTCAAGATAACCACAGCTGGTCCATTGCAGATTTGAACCCCAAATAGTTAGAATTACCTCAAGTTATTACTTCTGACAATCTAGCACTGACAGGCTTTGATTTGTTCTAAATAAATGCCACTGGAGAATTCTGTTCTTATGCATCTTGCTGATGACTCTCTTAATTTCTCTTCAGAGCTATAATGAAGAAACAGTCATTGAACTTATCTTATAAACTAAGTGCAATTAATTTTATATTCCAGAATGGCAAAAGTAAGTATCACACAAACAAAATGGGCATCCCTAACTAATACATATTCTGTGAACAGCCACAGATAATTGAATACTAACATTTCTAGATAGATACCCAAGTACAGGTGATCCTTGACTTCCAACACTTCATTTAGTGTCCGTTCGAAGTTACAACAGTGGAAACAGTGACTTTGGACTATTTTTCACACTTATGACCATTGCAGCATCTTCATGGTCACATGATTTACATTCAGATGCTTGACAATTGACTCACATTTTTGATGATTGCAGTGTCCCAGAGTCATGCGATCCCCTTTTGCAATCTTCTGACAAGCAAAGTCAATGGGGAAACCAGATTCATTTAACAACCGTGTTACTAATTTAAGATCAGTGATTCACTTAACAAACGTGGTGAGAAAAGTCGTAAAATGGGGGAAAACTCACTTAACAAATTTCTCGCTTAACAACATACATTTTGGGCTCAACTGTGGTTGTAAGCGGAGAACTACCTGTATGGTGGGGAAACTGCCCACCATAGATCTAAATGATGGGCAAATATCTGTCGCCCACCTGAAGGCAAATCTAAAGGAAACACTAAGAAATTCAAAGTTAAACCAGTCCAATTGGATTTCCCTTGAATTAAACAATACATTTTGTTGTTTGGCAAATTATTTATTTTGTTTGTTTTCATTTAATAGAACTGCATCCTACCTTTCTTCCTGGAGTTAACATACTGTTTTTTAATGTTTTCATTATAATAATCTTGTGAGGTAAGTTTGGCTCGGAGAGAGCAGCAACAAGGCAATAGCCAACCTGTTGCTAATGATGGTTTTGTATCTGCATCTTCCTGTCCTGTTTCAGCATTTTTAGTGCTGCACCGTGTAGGCTAAAATGTTATTTTTCAGATAAAAACAGTATGTTTTGCTAAGTAGAATCAGATGTGATTCATTATGCAACTGAGTCAGTAACCAAAGTTATGGAAACTTTCATTGTTCTACTTTGCCACGTTTGGCTCTGTTCCCGTGGAATAATATTGGAAGTCAGGGATGAAATTAGGTATCTACTCTTTGATGACAACAGAATTACTAAACAATGTGACTGAGGCAGTAGTGGGTTTCCATTATTTTTACTACCGGTTCTCTTGTGTGCGTGCACGAGACGCTTCTGCGCAGAAGTGTCCGGACAGGTGGGTGGAATCTCCTGCCGTTGCCACTACCAGTTCACCCGATCTGGGATGAATCGGGAGCAACCCACCTCCGCACTGAGGATATACTGTACTGGACAAGGTACAAAGTTTTGTACAGCAGCGTACAAATTTGAAGTTGCAGAAATTGTGCTTCGCCCCCTCCTGCTGTTGATCGTTATGACACTCTCACACCATGACTGAGGCTCACCAGTCTTTCAGATAGAAAGAATATACCATGGCCCACACCTAGGGCCTTTCACTGCTGGTCTGTACCACCAGCGCATCCTGCTCAGCAGAGCCATTAGTACCAGGCTTCAGGTGGCATCTTTGACTTTAATGTTGCCATTATTGGCTGTTCGTGTACTGCCTAATTCTTAGATCAGAATATTACCGTAATTTTCAGAGTATAAGATGCACCAGGGTTTTGAAGAGGCAAATTTTTTNAAAAAAAAAAAAAAAAACCTGAATCATTTGCAAAATGATCGGAATAGTTGTTATAAACTTGACAGAACTGTTTTAAACTCAAATGGAGTGCTTTCAACTGAGGTGGCTTGCATTCAAAGTGAGTTGAATGCAAAGTGAGATGGCCTGCGCCCCATTGATATAAAAAAGTGCTTCTTGGATTAATCCTCCTGAGTGGTATACATCAGAATTTTTAAAGCTGGATAATAAAATAAAAATGTTGTATGGAGCATAGTATTTCATATATATGGAATAGCTTCAACTGATCAATGTGAGGCAGTATTATTTTGTTAGGCATTAGTTGTTTAAAAATAACCAATTACGCAGATGTACTACTTATAGAGTGGATGAATTTCCATATGTTAACTTTACATATTTCTAAAGGCATAAATATGTTGCTTACCAAATAAACTGTTTGTTTACATAAATAGCATTGATTTATGCAAACAGTGCTTCCTTCTGCACAGAATCCAATAAACCATTCTATTTGTAAAGCAAACTGGCAGTGTTGAGAAGTTTCTGATTTTAAAGACAACAGTATCAGCTGTATCCACAGAAAGGGTATTCTGTTTGTGAAGATACTTTGGATATAGACATGGTTGTGTTTGAAAGACATTGTTCTCATCTCTTGCATAGCTTTTTTTCTCTGGCTTGTTCCAAATGGAGCACTCTGGTTTGTATGATAAGCTAGCAAATCTTACATACGGCCATCTGTGGTTTTCTGGCAATGCTGATTGGTAGGAGGGGAATTTTGGCTTGCCATGATGCTTGAATGTAATGTTCATGTGGCAGGTCTAGCCAAAAATTCCATTATGAGTGAAGCTGGTAGAAAATACTGATGTATCATTAATGGCCATGTCAATTTAAGAATCTGTAATATATGGCCAACTCGGTTTAATAATAAGTAAATTTGATTGTGACGTTAAATGTTCAGAAATAAAAAAGCAATAATTGCATCTTTAGTATCGCTGTATTTTGCCATTAATTTTAAAACTAGATATGGTATCAGTGACTGGAAGCAAAAGAAAAGAAACAAATATTAGTTTTAATTAAACCAATTATTCTCACTCATGTACAAATACATAAAATAATCCAATTAATTGGGTGTATTTTTCATGAGGAATATTCTAAATCTCTAGGGTCTCTTTTTATCATTTATTGTAGAAAAGGAACAAACCCATAAGTCCAAATTATATTTTTAGTAGGAATTTCCTATGATCTGGAGAGGGACATTTTTGAGTTATTCTTGACTCCTGCTTGGAGAACTTTATGCAATTTTCTTGGCAAGATTTTCAGAATAATTTTGCTCTTGCCTTATTCCTAGAGGGAGAGGGAGAAAGACTGGCCCAAGGATCACCAGCTGGCTTTGTGCCTAGGGCAGAATGCGAACTCACAGTTTTCCAGTCTCTAGTATGCTACACCACGGTTTCCTGAGCAGTGAATGCTAGCAACAGGCTTGCTGCATAGGCTCAACAGAGAAATAAGATTTGTGATTTAAAATTCAAACAGAGGCTGAACTTGCAAGAGACTTTTAATAGATTTTTTTTCAAATAAAAAACAGAATTTCAATGCCCTCTTCTATGGACAAAGCATAGCTATTGATAGCTATTGCAGGCCATTTAGGGTGAAATTTCAGGAAGCCCATCAATATTGACTACTTCTCATATTCTTCTGCCTGCGTGGAGATATTTTGTGAGCTCTGGAGGCTCAGTAGAACATCTAATGTCATTTTTTTTAAAAAGCTTCTTAT